TATTTTGGTATAACTTTTTGCTTTTTGTTATAATTTTGTTATAATTTTCTGGTAGATCTTGGAGTCTATTTTTCTTAATGAAAGTGGTTTCTTTTAATTAAAAAAGAATGAATAAATAAATAAATAAAACTATTCTAACTTCTGTTCATTAGCAAATTTTTAATTTGAGATTTAATTAATTTTTAATAAAATATCTGAAATGTCGCATACATGCTGTAAAGAACATACATGTTCCTTCCTTTTAAATAACGATGATCCATTTCACGTTTTTAAAAAAATTAATCTATGTTTTGAATTGAAAAGCCGAATAAAGGACGATGTTCGCAGATGTTCGTCCACTTGCAAATTACAGCCGATGTCTGTTTCCCATTGTAACATCCTCATTGATTCAAAGACAAAGAGGAAAATTTTAATTAGTCAACGTCAGTACAATCGGCCCAGATCCTGGGAATAATGGACCGGGAAATAAAAGATCGGTTCGTTGAAGAAAAAAGGTCACGATAATTTTAGCAATGGCGAGCCACCATCGTATCTTGTCGATCGATTCAAATAAAGATAAGATAAGCGCGTGTCTTTATCGAGATACATCTCCGATCGGCGACGCGAGGGACTTTTCGTCCTGGCGGTCGTTTCCCTCGAGAAAAATGAATCACCATTTTTCTCGAAACATTCTTACGTGTCGTTATTTATATAAGTCGCTCTTCGTTACCAAGATCGAATGATCGATCTCGAGCGGACATAATTCATCTTCTAACGTCTAATATAATCAGATTGTGCCGGTCCATTCGCAACGTCTTTCGATTAAATTTCTTCAGTGATAATTTAACATTGCTATTCTCTTTGCATCTCATTTCATTTTTAGTTCTCAGTAGTACATTGAACTAATCGAATCAATAATTGAATAAAAAACATGAAGATGAAATAAATACTTAATTTTAAACAAAGAGAGAAACTTTATAATTGTCTGCACTGTTAATATAATTCATGATTAGTAAAATTGTAGTATATTATAAAAATTTTATAGATAGTTTAAACAATATTTAAGAATGAATGATGAAACAATTTTAAATAATATTATTTGTAAAAATTGACCGATGAAATTAAATACACATGAGTAAAAAATACCATATTTAGCAATCAAGATGATTCCTCATAATAGTTGCGTTCAGCATAAAAAACAGCTTTATAACTATTGTCAAATCTTTAATATACATATGATTGATTTTATCCTTAATTCCTAAATCTAAATGTATAAATCTGTATATATATATATATATA